AGAACGCGTTGCGGGGCGAAGGGCAATTCGGGCGTTCGACAACTTTCCCCGCAAAAGTGAGAGTGGCAGTTAACTCGCATTTTGAACACTTTCTCCGCCATAATCCATTGCCGAATACAAAGTTATGCGCGTCTTGGACGTACCTCAGAGCTCACATCATACGTTCAAAATTAAATCTACGTTGAATAATTTAATTGATTGACCTATGAATTGAAGCAAACTATACTATCTATACTAATATTATAAAGAAGAAAGATTTGATTTTTTGTTTGTTTGTTTGTACCGCATAGGCTCCGAAACTACTGAACTGATTTAGATGAAATTTGGTAAGAAGATTTTTGGTAAGAGCCTGGGAAGAACATAGGATAGTTTTTATCCCGGAAATCATCCCATAAAGGGGGGAAATGGGAATGAAAATTGGTATGGGAAAGCAACGTAGGGGCGAAATCGAGCGAAGCTAGTGTATAATAATTCGATTTTTATACAGAAAATTTATTAATTTATTTTAAAAAAATTATATACTTTTATATATATTTATTGTAACACTTAGACTTAGATGTATTGATAATTTACAATTGTTGTTTATTTGATTTAACATTTTCCACTTTTTACAATATTTACTAAAATAATAATGTTTTTTTTTTGGTTTTGTATCTGTAATACAGAGGCTAACAAGTTAACTTGGCTAAGAGAAAATTCAAATATAAACATATTGCCTATTATTTTTTTAATTGAAACATAATTTGTTATGTAGCTAAACCTGTAATTTTAACTCATCTAGAGTTTTCTTAAAGAAACTAATTTTTATAGATATAATTCATCATAATAATATATTATGTACATTTACGACATATCAACATTTTTACCTGTTTGCATGTCATGTATAGTTGACTAAATTATTTAACTAAGACAGAAAACTTTACCAATATAAACTTAGTTAACATTTAATTATAAAAATAATAACTTTGTATGGTTAAAAATAAGATTGTATCTTTATACATGCCGAAATAGCTGTAGAAAAATTACAACACAAATCAGTGTAAAGAAAGGCAATAAGCAGTGCATAGTGTTCGATGTCGTCATCAAACTTTCTCCGATGAAAGTGAGAGTGGTCTGACGAGCGGTCCGGAAGCGTCCGTCTCACTTCCTACAATCTTAGCTAGCACGCGCTCTTCGAAATGACCCATATTATTTTTAATATTGAACTATTACGATTTTTCTAATAAACTATTACTAAATATTAGCTTTTTATATATTTAGCTTATGATATATAAGTTATATATTATTAATTATAAACCATAACTTAAGTTTGTTATTTGAAAATTCATGAAAATAGTCTTAAATAAAGAAAATATAAGAATACCTCAAAATTAATTTACAATTTACTTGTTTCTGTACTACTAATTTCATATTTGTTTTAATAAAGTACTTGTATATTATACAAATACTTTAATAAGTACAAATTAAATTATTACTCAATAGCTGTTCCATCGAAAACAGTTCAGACGTGAACAAAACAAGATTACATACACGTTGCGCGTACGCCGGAACGATCGAAAGCGTAGCACGTAACTAACTTCCCGCTTCCTTTGCTTCTAAGTTTTTCACTAGGAAACGCGTTCTCCTTATTATTACATTAGCTTTTAATTATAACTTTATTTCTTACTTAACTAGCTATCGCCCTTGACTTCGTCTGTCATATTAAATGTTAAAGTAAACAAAATATATAACTTTACTATTAATGTTAAGGTTAGGTTTATAGTAGATTTAGATTTTAAATACGAGGAACACAAGTCATAACATATGTACAATATACATACATATTAATACTATTAATACCATGCAGTGCTAAGTCGTATGGAAAGATATTTAAAATGTATATTTTTCCTTGTCCTAGATATATTATTGCTAATTTTGTATAAATCCGGTAAGCGGTATTGATGTGACTCATAAGAATATACGAAGAACTTTCACTTTCTTTCCATATTGCTGACAGTATTTTACACATTTTACCACTTATAATTTACTACATGTGGTATTTCAAACCTTAACCGAACCTGGCAATACGAATTACACGAAAACAACATATACTTTGATAATATTTACAAAATAAAAAACCCGACTGCGTAAAAAGCGAATTAAAAAGAAGAGAACACGTTGACGAAGGAACATAGTATTTTATATAAATATGTTGGGGCATGAACACACAGCACCATCTAGTTCCATGGTAAGCTACGAGGCTTGTATTGTGGATACCAGATAGTTGATACATTACACATAATATATATCTTTAAATACATACATATTATAAATATAAACATCCGTGACTGGAGTACAAACATTCGTGCACATCACACAAATGAATGCCCCCAGCGGGACCGTTGGCACAACAAGTAGGGTTACTACAAACTGAGCCAAACCTGTCGTCAACATGACGAAGCAAATAGTATTATGCAGTCAGAGACATATACATAAAAATCGGGCGCGGTGAAAGAAAATTTTTTCAACGGGCTTAATTAACGAAGCAGTTAAATACTTAAAAAACTTCGTTTTTTTAAATAAAAATTGCTTTTGGTCAAATTAAAAAGTAGTCGAGGGATTGCATTCGCTCTGGCTTTATCTGCAAATGCTACGACAGTTTTAGAAGGTGGTAAAATGGCTTACGCTGCGTTTAAACTCCCGGTCAATCTCACCAGAGTTGAAATGCCCATACGAGATATATTTAAACAGAGTACTATAGCTCAAGTTCTCTGAAAGTGCACACTTACTGTGTGGGATATAAAATAGAAAACAGAGATTATTTCGAATCCCAAGAAAATTATGTATAGGTAACTTCTCGGCTAGCCACAGCAGTGACTACTGTAACAGCTGTAACAGACGAGAGAGAGAGAACCTATCTAGAGTGTATCCTTATGTTTCTGATATACAAAAGAAGTCTTGGCTGGGCTTTGTGAACGTGTTACACTGACCCTTAAAACAACAGTGGTACTGCTTATAATAACGTTCTGCTTAAGTCTTTTGAAGAGTCAAGATTAGAATATAAGTGTCTCGATACAGTGATGCAAAAGGATGAAACAATTTACTATCCTGTGCAGTTCCTTAGCAGTATTAACTCACCAGGCCTCCTTTCTCATAAACTTCTGGAGATAGGCTCACCTATAATGAATAAGCCACCTGAGCTACGTAACGGGACTAGACAGCGAGAAATCTATAAAATAAATTATAGTGATCACTGTGTTTGCTGGATGTGCTCAAGAGGAATTAGTATTCGTATCTCGAATACCACTGATATCCCTTGACTTTACCTTTGAGTTTAATGTAATGTAATTCCTCCATATAATCTCAGGGCCAGTCGTTTAAAGTAGCAGGCATAGTCTTAAGAGAGATTGCTTCTCACATGGACATTTTACCAGAACCAGACAGAACATCCACCAATGTGGTATAAAAGAAGTACTTAATTATATTTTCACTTTCTTTTCGCGATTTTTTAGCGCAGACTAAGCTAAGTGAACCTAGAGTGATAACATAAATATACACATAATACCACAAATTCCATGTGACAACATATAGATTTAATGGAAATTAAAACTGAGCTAATTTGTTAGTCTACGCGAGCGTAGCCGCGGGCAGAAAGCTTAACAAAATAAGAATGGATGATGGGAGATGGAAAAGAGGGAGACTGTAAGTTTCAGGGGTACACAACATAGGGTCTCTAAAAATAACGCAGAAGTTAGCATGTATGCTTAAAAGCCCATATTAGCCGAGTACATGATTCTTAAGTCGTAAACATCGTTTGTAAGTTGTATTATTGTACTCTCTACTTCTAAATTTGAAAAGATGAAGTAGAAAATGTGGAAAAAATGTAGTGAGTACTTTAAACGAAAATTAATTTACAGATTATATGTTTTAGAAGTAATGTATAGTTAGGTTATTTTATCTTTTATTACTTAAAAATTCTCATACCTATAGATAATATAGGTAGTTTCAGCGATTTTTAGACATTGCATGTTAAAATTATTTATTTTATTGATATAGTATGTAGGTAGGTATTTAAAGTACCAAAGTAGCTTTGTATCAGAATCGAACCCACGACCCGTGTTTGTAAATAATTGCAACTATGTGAAATAAGCGACTATGTAAAGGATATGCATTCATAATTTAATCGTTGGAACTGTTCTCATGAACAATAGATTGTTTTTCTTTAACACTTACACGCGACGATGAGAATTAACATATTGTCTCACATATTTTTTAATTATTCTTTATAATTAATATATAACTTATAATGTCTTCTTATTAACTTAAAAATAGTTATTTTTGTGCTAAGAAACTTGGAGCCGAATTTAAAAGACACTAAATGAATAAATGTATGTAAATACATATAAAATGTCAGCGTGCTTTATGAGATTTATATTACAAATTCGTTTCCTGTATAGAAGAAATGTTAAATAATAAACTGACTAACACGTTTAACTACTCTATTTGATTTCCTGTTTAAATAAAATTATTACTATTTTTACTAGACCATTAAGTGTGTGTGTGTACGTCTCGCTTTATTCTTAGAATAATAATATCTAATTATTCAAAGTATATGTCAGAACTATATCTATCCATCATCCATATGCTTGTATGACAATTGTTTCACAATAATAATTGAAAAGGCATAATAACTACATCGTATAGCTAATTCAATTTGTGCTTAATTTTAGTATTTTTTTCTAAATGTGTAATAAATCATGGTTGATTTGTATCGAGAAAACTTAGATTTCGAGCCTATTTAAATATAAATGTAAAATAAATAATATGACATCGAGCTTTCTAGCACTCGTTGAGGGCCTTTGGTTGCCGACGCCGAGTGTCTTAGGCATCGCTTGGACGTCTTATTTTATCTATACATCACATATTCACATAAAAAATGTTTTATCTTACAAGATTGTATTATACCTTTCCTTAAGATCTTACAAGTATTGCTTCTATTAAGTATTATTTATATTGGGCATATGAGTAAGTAACGTGCGAGATGTGTCGTGGGTGGTCTGGAGGGTAGTTCCAAATTCCAATATTCGGTTAGAAGGTCATTTTAGGGGGAGAAAAGCCCTTTGACTAATCACGCGGCGACATTCGCGTGTCTAGCCTCGTGACCTCCCCCGCACCGTGCACGTGCCTAGTACAGCTCTGCTCTCGCTTAACACTTCATTTATATACAAACGCAAAAAGTTTTGACTTTTTGTTGCATATCTGACATCTTTATTCAATCTTATGATTTAAAAACGAATAATATTCATTATATCCAGATATTTGCCACTTTGTTAACGAAATTTTTATTAAATTTTACATATTATTACAAAGATAAATTATTATTTTAACTTAATAATACCTAGATCTAAAGTGGTTTTGTTCGATGCGATTTATAATTGCTGTGCGAATGATAATTCGTATTAAATGCGTATTATAGCATAAGACTACATTGCATTCGCTAGCCTGTACCTGTGTTCGCAGCCACGATCTTGACCCCCCAAATTGCATGGTTTTCCTTAATTAGTGGGGGTAGAAACTGGCTTTAAAGGGCGCGAGCTGCAGTGACCGGGCTATCGTTTGTTACAGGGAAATCAGTGAACAACAAAGACGCGCTTGAAGATAAGAAAGATGATAACGAGTTGTGGGAGGCGCAGGCTGCCTTCCTTGGACCGAACCTGTGGGATAAGACCCTGCCCTACGATCCAGATCTCAAGGTACAAGAAGTCAGTAATCGCAACTTTATTACCTACTGCGTGTTGCGTGTTGTGTTCGTCCGTAGCCTTGACTCCGCACTAGGTAATATAGTAGCTTATCCGCGTATCCCATCCCTCCCACTGATGTTGCCCTAGTTTAGAATTAACTCTAGAAGGGAAATACCATATCCACCATATGATGCTTCCTTTCGTAGCTTTAATAAAGTGCTATTTTTTTCTTATTTCTTTTTGTATATTTGACATGATTCTTTTTTATTTATATAATAATAAATGAATTGACAGTAGCATAAGGATGGTCAATGCGACTTTGCAAGTGCGATTTTGCTGTGCGATTTTGGCTGGCGCTGTCTAAAGCGCTGCGTGACATGTCAATTGCTTTCAGTACGTGGACTTAGACGAGTTCCTGTCGGAAAATGGCATGCCGGGAGAGGGCTTGGGTGGTGCCCATTTGGGCGGTTCCGCCTTTGGTGGAAGCGCTGGCCTGGCCCTCGGCCTGCAAGCCCCGGTCACCAAACGTGAAAGATCGCCATCTCCATCGGATTGTATGAGTCCAGACACCATTAATCCACCGCTGTCGCCTGCCGACTCAAGTATGTATACTTCTGGTAGAGTATTTTTTGTTAGTTGTAGTTTCTTTACTATTAGTTATAAATTTATAAATTTTCTATTTTAATTCGTTAGTGCTAGATAATAGTTTCATTATAGTACTTATTATAGCCGCTTAATACTTTTTTATCTTAGAACAAAAAATTCACTTAGTAACTATACAATATTTTGTTTGGTACTATTAATATCGAAATGCATAACTATAAATTGTTCAAATTAAAGATGAATAATTAATAATGATAACGATTCCTATTACTCAAGTTACAATCGATCTTCATAAGACGTTCACGGCCAATATTATAAATTACAGCCTTCTCTATGGCGTCATCGGGTCGGGACTTCGACCCGAGGACACGTGCTTTCTCTGACGAGGAGTTGAAGCCGCAGCCCATGATCAAGAAGTCCAGGAAACAGGTAAATGAAGTTAGTGCGCTGATCATTCCTAGCGGCATGCTGCAATCTGCCTGCGGGGTGCGGCGTCACTTACACCACACCACTACACTATTATATACTTTAGTCTTAGCGTTGACTCTTCTCTAGAGTGAGAGCTCTAAATAAACTCATTTTATAATATGTTATATTTATCGACCCATTATTCTTATATCTTTACATACATATCAATAAATATCTCTACTAACAATGATTTCTTTATATCTGACATTTAAAAGATTAATAAAAATAAAGGGCGTAGTGACGCGGCACTTCGTCCTCCACTTTTAAGAATAAGTAGAATTAATGTTTATTTATTTATTTTTATTTTTTTCCTATGATATTATATTAAACTATTAATATTCCATAGTTTGGTATCTTTCGTTTAATTTATATATTTATAGCAGTAATATCTGATGATATTCACATTTTTTTTATATTTCTCTTATTGTTATTTGGTTTTTCAAAAATCAACACACAGCATGACAAGTGCTTTCTAACGCTTTGTCAAAATTTACTAACTTTATTGTACGTAGAAAAAGTATGTATATAACTTTTGAACTTAGACAAGATGCCATTCTACACACAATCGTTGAAGAATAGAAATCTAAAATTTTATGGTAATGAAATATTACGACATGACGATTTACTTTGTCGAATGACATCTTCTCTAAGGCCCTCTGTTCCACACAGAGATCTATGCAGAGAATGGACTGAGCAATACTCTCATGAAATGGACCACTCTCTAAAAAGAGAGAAAGCGAACGTGCGTCAATACCTGTCTTTTATTCCATTTTGAATTTATAAATGGAACGTAAAAAAGTATAATAATATTATAATGGAATGTAAAATGGCTATAAATATCTAACTTCATTAATCGTATTTCAATTAATACAGAAGACTTTTGGCTGTATATTTGTTTTGTCTCTGTCGCGCCTTTCCGCCATTTTTAGCTGACGGCTGGCAAAGAAACACTCAGTCTATTCTCTGTCTATGGTCATAACCGAATGTAAAGGCATGCAACTAAAGTTTATTGACTTGATATATTAATGATAGGTTATATATTTAATAAAAATATTTTTTGTCTGTTTAGAGCAAAAATATAACGGCTGAAGCTTTTATGTCATATTTATAAATATTTTACTTTGCATTTATTTTTATGTGGTACAGGTAGTATTAGGTCCTTACATATGAAAGTGGCGTTTTATCGAACTGGCACTTTGATCTCAAATATCTGGTCTGAGCGTTTAGTTAGGAATTCCAAATTCAAATTTGTTTACGTTTGTATATTTGTGTGTTCGAATTTAGTGCTTCATTTGTTTTCGTACCATTCGATTTTTACAAAATTAAATTTAAAATATCGCGTTATTTGCGATACGAGTTCCACCGTGGCACCAGCGGTGCAGAAACAGCTCGAAGTATTTATGATGTATATGGGGAAACTACTGTAAAAGAAAACACGGTACGGTTTTGGTTCCAACGTTTTCGTTCTGGAAATTTTGACCTATAGAACAAACCTCATGGACGGCCGGTGACCCTAGTTGACTATGAAGAATTAAAAGTGATCGTGAAATCGGATCTATCGCAAACCACGCTAGAGTTAGCGGCAAGCGTCGGTGTGAGTGATAAAATAGTTTTAATTCACTTGAAACAAATTAGAAAAGTGAAAAACCTCGAATAATGGGTAACGCAGAAATTGAGTGAAGCACACAAACTAACACGCGTCGAGTGCTGCGTTACATTACTCAACCGTCACAAAAACGAAGGGATTTAATCGTATTCTTACTTATGATGAAAAATGGATCCTGTACGATAATCGGAAACGCTCATCACAAGATTGAACACAGGAGAACCGGCCAAATCGAGTCTCAAGCGAAATTTGACTCAGAAAAAAGGTACTGGTAAGTGTCTGGTGGACCAGTGCTGGTGTCATCCAATACAACTTCCTAAGATTTGGCCAGAGGATTACAGCAGATCTGTATAGTCAACAATTGCAAACCATGATGAAAAAGCTAGCCGTTAAGCAACCGAGACTGGTCAATTATTATAGCCCACTGTTGATGCAGGATAACGCTAGATCACTGTACAACAGACGGTCGCTAAATTAGAGGAGTTACGATTGGAATGTCTCCAACACCATACACTACAGACCTTGCTCCAACAGATTACCACTTTTTCCAAAATTTCTTGCAAGAAAAAAATTTCAATTCCTATGAGGCAATCAAAACCGTCTTCAGAGATTTTGTTGATTCTCGCTCCAACAATTTTCTCCGCAAAGGAATCAATCAATGAAATATCTTTAAAATGACGAAAGTGTATAGATAGTAATGATGAAACATATTTTGATTGATTAAATATATATCTTCATAATTTTGTTGTGCTTTTTCCATATAAAACGCCATATTTATATGTAAGGACCTATATATAGTACACATGAGACTATCTATCTATATATATCTTTATTTACATATTAGTTGTAATTGCATCAAACTTGATTCGCTCAGTGAAATTTAGTTATTTTTACTAGAATGGCTTTTTTAGGAATTTAAATTACTTTTAAAACGTTATGCGACTTTTTCATATGAAATAAACACATTAATTAATAAAATATAGAAAAACAATTTAAATTTTAAATTTAACATTAATTTTAATATTTCTCATAATTAATATATAATTAATATATCATCTGACAAAGTTTCGTATGAAAAATATCGTATCTCGTATCACTCAAACATATCCAACACTACACACCGGCACTACCGATATCTAGCAACTAATTGGGTTTTGCACAGACATACTAGTTTATCAATATTCTATATGTTTTATTGATATATATGACTTTTAATATCATGGGGCGTGGTTAAACTTAATTAAAGCTTAGACTCAACCAAATTATTACAAATTTATTGCATAATAGAAATTATTTAAAACTTTTAGAAAGTACGTTAAACATAACTTTATGACTGACAATTTAAAATAACGATAAATCTTAATATATGTACATAAAATATATTATTTATTGAAAAAAATAATTTCTACTCAATTATGCATACATCTTTGCATCTCAGTGACAGCTACAAATTATATATTTAATCTGCGAAAGCTTATACTCGTAATAGAAAATGTTTTAATTTAGAAGGTGTTAAATTAGTTTCAAATACATCAGAGCTATTACGATTTAGTCAAACATTTATGATTATAAGATTATATTACGATTTTTATAATGCGAGATTAATTTAAATTAACGAGATGCAGGGTTCGGTTGGTCGGGGTAGTGGAGTAAAATATTGTATTGGGTGAAGGGTTATTTGAGTGTATGGCGCGGCGTGCTAACTACATATCGACGTCGTCGGCAGTTCGTGCCTGATGACCTCAAGGATGACAAGTACTGGGCGCGCAGACGGAAGAACAACATGGCAGCGAAGAGGTCACGTGACGCGCGTCGGATGAAAGAAAACCAAATCGCTCTTCGAGCCGGCTACCTTGAAAAGGAGGTAGGTTAAATAATACCCTCCTGACCGATTCTGTGGATGCTAATCTCACTGAGACTAGTAGAGGATACATTTTAGGGCAAATACAAGTAGCAAATACACTCTCTATCTCACTCTCACACTCCGGTGGGACGTCACTTCGATACGACTGGTAAGAGATCAGACGCAGGATCGACGATTTTAACTGTTCTCTCAATGATGGGAGGAGAAATAAGACAATTTTATTAATAATAAAAGATGCGTCTTTTTCTGGTTTAGAATGTATCTGATTTTATTTAATAAAATAGATATGTTCCTTGTACTTAAAAAGACAGGATACCCTTGTTAATTTATAAAAGGTATTTCTAACACCATAATTAAAATTAAATATCTTTTATTTCTGTAATAATATCAGTAAATCGTCAAAAATTATTACGATAATTTAAAACCTAGGCAGTGGTAACCCAGCGGTAACGCGCTAACTTGGGAAACCGAGTGAAGCGGGTTCAAATCCCGGATCTTTCACCTCTGATATTTTAATGTCCGAATCATTTCCAATATGATTACCACTTGCCTTACGGTGAAGGAAAACATCGTGAGGAAACCTGCATTTCTGAGAGAACTTAATAAGTCTTTGAAAGACATGTGTAGTCCCGCACTTGGCTAGCTTGGTGGACTATGTCCCGATCCCCCTCGTATTGTAAGGAGGCCTGTGCCCAGCGGTGGGGCGTTCAAAAGGGCTGAATACAATTTAAAACTTCTTCAAACTGAATATTATAACCTATTTTAAACCCAACAATAGCTCATTCATTATGAGAGCATGCTATCAATCAGAAATTAATATTTTCATTCGAATGTTCCAGAACATGGGTCTACGACAAGAGGTTGAATTGTTAAAGAAGGAGAATCACATCCTGCGCGAAAAGTTGTCCAAATACGCGGACGTATAAGCGGGCTCACCGCTTAGCACAAACACGCCACATCATATGTAAGTACTAGCGACCTTTCTTCGCTCACGCCCTTATAAGTGCCTAACTATAAAAGGTGCCTAACTAATAAGTATATTAATGCTTATTTGTCCAAACGAGCAGTTTACCGAGAGTCTTTAAGTACAGAATAATTGACGTTTATATGCCAATTCTATTGCTATAAAATACAATTTTTATTTAAATCAACTAACAAAAAATAAAAAAAAACCGACTGCGTAAAAAGCGAAGTAAAAAGTTGAGAACAAGTTGACGAAGAAACATAGTATTATATTTATGCAGTCGGAGACATACACAAGTACTCGTACTGTACACGTAGCAAGACTCGCACTTAGTATAACTTGTAAAATAAAAATGAAAAATTATGTCAATTTAAACAATCACCTAGGGACGAATGAATCTGGTTGCTTTACCCATTTTTCGGAGATTCCCCAAAAATATATTAACATTATTTTATTGTTCTTTAATTGTTATTGTTGTTTAATATGTATATAAAAAAGTATTTGTTTTCTGTTTGCAGGTTGCGGGCATCGTCGCGCTGCGCCGTCTCGGGCACACCGCTCCTATCTATTTGTAACGCTTTTCAAATATTCGGTTATATTGTACTATACTGACTAATCTATTGTTAAATGTAATGCCTATGTGTATGACCGCACCCCACCCATCTCATCCCTCTTCACCCTCTAAACTGCCGATTCGCTGATACCAAGTACTTATCTAGCAATCACATGTAGTCTAGAAGCAAGCGCGGACGCGAGCCGGTGATATGGCGAATCGAACAGTTTACTTCTCCCTCTTCTCTCCCTCTCTCCACTATCCCACTCCCTCTAACCTCCGCCCTCTAAGTTATTCGTTTATATGTAGGATTTACAGTTACCGTAAGTTAATATTAGTTGAATAGTTGAATCTTTACCAAAGTTCCGCTCGAACTAACGATCTATCGTCGTTTCTAATTCCTTCGGACTCGGTTCGACTACACTACAGGGTTAGTCAACGACGTACGGACCAAATTAAAATGGAGATACGTTATTTTTAAAAAAATGGCCGTCCCGAGCGCGCCCAGCGCCCCGCCCCCTCTGCGGGTCTAAGTTAATGTTGTTGAATATTTATATGTTATCGGCACAGGTACCGCTCGTTTGCTCAAGTGGCTCGCGTACGTACGCAGTGTAGCGCTAGTGTAGTGCGTGAACCGTGATGCGTGATGCGTCTGTATATAGGTAGTTGTAATGCCCGAGCCGCCCGGACCGCGCCCCGGCTTCCCCCGGCCAACTCCCGGCTACCCCCCGGATAACCACAATACCCCCAATACCCCCGGGGTGCGCGCGTCCCCCCGGGTGCGCTCGCTAGCTCTAGCTCGCTTGGTAGACCGCTCCCGAGACTGCACCCGGTCTCTGTCGTTTCCGTAGAAAGCGAACATTAGTTTCGTTTCAAATTTACTTAGTAAATAGTTTAAGTAGTATGTAGATTCCGTAGCGTAGTCGTTATTAGTCTATTTTTGTTATGGCTGTAGTTGTTAACGTTTTTAAATGTTTATATATATTTTTTTTTAGTTATAAAGAAAGTCGCGATACCGCGTCGTATCGGGTAGGACCCGCGTGTAGAGTTGGGCGGCTATCGGTCGCTGGCAGCCGGCCGCCGGCTACTGGCAGCTGGTAGCTGGCCTCTGGCCACCGGTAGCCGGCCACTGGCCGCTAATGGCCGGCCACTGGCCACTGGTGGCCGGCCACTGGCCAGTAGCCGGTGGCCGGTCGCGAGGCCCGCGCGGCCGCGTCCCTACGCACTGACTGCATCATCTGGACGTTTTCTCCGCACTCTATTTGACTCGTGCTAATGTTATAATATATTTTTGTAGGTTTTTGTCGTTGATAAATGAGTCAATTGAATGTTTATTGAATTGAAATAAAATTAATGTTTACGAAGTAAGACTAAGAAGTTGTTGCATTTCAAAGTATTTTATGAATACAAAGCGAGAACAATAAAATGTTTTTTCTATAAAGGTTTACATGAAGGATTACTAAGGTGTGACGGTTGACTTTTAAATGCACTGTTTCATATCAAATGATATTATTATGTAAAGAGTAATGTTACGTACATTTGATATTCCATCTTGTTTGTTAAATGTATACATTAAATGTGAAATCATGTAACCACGGTACTTATACAGTATATAGAGTAAACGGCTAAATAGCACCTGTATTTTAGCTGTGAATGTAACGCAGACGAGTATTTGTAAACTATGGGATAGTAGGTAATCGCGGTCACCGCGGGCGCTCCTATTTAATCCCCACATAACGCCTTTTGTATGCAACATACGTACCATACGTAAAGTAGTATTTCATTTTAATTTATATGGTTCTATGGATTGAAATAAACGTTAATTGTTGTAAATATGTTTATTTATTTGTTCCGGAGCGCCGGAAAGGCGAATGCCGTGTATGAACCGCTAAATCTTTCCTCGATCGCTGTTTTATGTAATAAATCGTGGTAAACAGTACCTTGCACAAATTTGACTTTTCATTACCCCCAGACCTTTTCGTGAGGCAAAATAGCTAACTACCCTCTACAATTAGTTTAGTATGGGGTCTATATAAATAAGGCCTATGTAAGAAAATTCTATAATCGCTATCGCTAATAGGTAACTACATAAAATGTATGCGATTGACATATTTGGTATAAGTTTTATATCACGTGGTCAGTATATACCATTCCCATACATTTTTGATTTTAAATAACGAGGTACAATTTAATTGTATGAATTTTTGTGTGTATGTTATGTTTGTTTTTTTTTAATATAAATTATACCTCAAGTTGGTCTCATATAAATTTTAAGAAAAATAATGTACCCCGATGGTGGTAAGGGGTTACTTTAAATATTATTTTAAAGATTTCTATTTGCGATATCGATAGTAGAAAATCGAATTGTCTAAGGGAACTGTATATAAAATTCCACCCACTTTTAAGCATATGTTATACTGTATTTTAAATTTCATACCTGTTAAAATACGTTTTTTTATATATTAATTTATATTGTCTAAATATTCTGCTAACTCCATTTTAAGTAAGATATGTAAAATTGTAACTACTTTTTAGGCTTAATGACAATTATCTAAAACATTAATTAATTATTTAAACATATAATTAATAAACGTCTTATAAAACAACAAGCATTTCGTTATTATTTTGTTTACAGTAAAACGAGGAGGTGCTAAATTTGATTGATTTTTTGTGTGTATGTTTTACCTACGCGCTTTTCACTAATTATGAATCGATTATAATATATTTTTAACGATCTCCAGAATAGATTAAAATAAATTTAAAAAAAAACACAAGAATAAATGTTTTACTTTAAGGTTGAACGATTGTTTTTGCGATTTTGAAGTCGGCATAACTTTTTTTGGATAAAAAGTAAATCTGCTTTTGTAAATGGAGTTAACAGTTTAATCTTAGACGATATTCTAAATATTCTTTTATCTTATAAAACTCCATTACACTCTATTTACAAAATATCTTATAATAATACCTTCTAGAATATGGATACAATAAAACTTTTCTTGGATCGATTCTGTAGTGTTTTCTATAATTCGACTGCTGAATCCACAAATCTTGTATGATATATAATAAAATACAATCGCGAATTCAGCTTTCGAGTTGTAAAAGTTCTTACAGAATAGTACTACTGTGCGATATTCACCTTCGCTTTGCCAAAACCTACTATCATCTCAAATCAATTTAAAATCAAGAGAGATCTTCACGCTACTACAAGGAGGTAAAAGGTCTACCGGAATAAGCATATGAAATCTGCACCAACCTCTACTGAAGAGTTTCTACCTCATATTTATTGTCCTTTATCTAACACTTTGCCACCTAATTCCAGACATCTAACCCCGTTAATAGTTAAATAATGGGGGTGACAACCCCTAACTATAAATTGATTGAGATCGATACGAGTAAGAGATGTACTATGGAGTATAGGATAAATAAAATGCTAACTCCATTTTTTTTAAGTTTGAAGTAATCTATTTATAATAAAGTAAATTACAAATATACTTAATTACATATACAAAACAAATGTACACCTAATTGTTACTGTACAAGTCCGCGTGGAATAGTGGCAAGAATGCTAGCCGCATTCCCCCGCTGAATGGCAATGCCCATTCTTTGGGCGAAAACAAGCCATCTCGCCTGTCGAGTGTCGCACGAGTTTAATGATACGAAACATAATAAAATTACATGAAATATATACACTAATTTGAGTTTTTCTTTGAATCGGGCGAAACAAAATATCACATAAAAAGTCTAAGTGTTTCACCAAAATACTTAAATGCACTCTCTATTGAGAAGTTCATTGATAGAAAAGCTTATAGTATGAGGAAATGTGTTACGTCCCAATAAAATCGGCACTGCTGTTCTTAAGAGGATTTAAACATGCAATAAATATAAATGTTGGTTTGGTTTTTATTACCTATATTATTTATTAATGGTATAATATGTAGGGGTTATAAACTTTCTAAAAACAAAAATGGAATCTTTAAAGAAAACGCTTACTTTCAAATGATTTTTCTACGTAGCATCATCACCTGAATGAGGCGGATTATTATTTAACATTAAGTTTAAAATTAACTGTCAACTTTCTGATTTGAAATTAATGATAATGACGAAATGAAAAAGTTTAATAAAATTTAAATATTCATAATAAAACTACATATACTGGCATTGGTAAGGTTTGGGCTCGATTCCTATAAAATACCAGCAACCAATAACATTGAGCAGTCATTTATTAAAACAAGCGACTAATCCGGTAGGAAGAAACGCCACTTTTTGATAAATTTTATAACTAACAGTACTAAATGGTACTCCGGGACATGTATAAGTATCTGTAAACTAAATTTCATCTAAATCTATCCAGGCAATACACACATACTCGTACAAACGTATGCGTTTTTGACACTAAGGTGATAACTTCGAAACCTATCTTGCAATGTTTTATTCCATACTGTTATTGCAGTCATATTTATAAGTCTGAGTAAGAGGGAATTTTCAGAACTACTGATCCTATTATGTTTTTATTCCCTTTTACATCTCTGAGTGGCATAAACTCTGCATTATATTGTAACTAGCATTGCCCGCGGCTCCGCCCGCGTTCAGATTACCAAAAACCAAATTCTTAGGTTTTACATATTAGTATACTCTTTTTGTATTATTTCTTAGAAATTAGATATTTTCCCGCAGTAAAAAGTATCATATGTGTTGACCCGGATAACAAACGATCACCATATCAAATTTCATCAAAATCCCTTCAGTGGTTTTTCTGTGATGAGATAACAGACAGAGAGATAGATAAAAAAAATTTAAAACTATAGATTCGGCCTCTGTATCGATAATAATGTTTATTTCAATAAGATTTTCCAAAAAATATTTAATGTACAGATTCGGCTTAGTTACAATTTTATTATATGTATGTATAGATACGTTATAATACTATTTAGTGATGATAAATGAAATACTATTATACATTTTGTATACTTTTATTTAATTCAAAAATAATATTATAATGCGACAACAACCTGTATCCCTCACTCTATACCTCAGATACATTTTACAATATTCCAAAATGTTCAATTTGACTTATATAATTTTATTTAAAATCACAAATACGCTATCTGAGCAATTTCCTTTATAGACATTTACAATATCGATTTTAATACTTTCATAGTTTCATTCCTTTTAAGGATAGGCTCCTCTCCTTTATTTTCAGGATATACTAGGACAAACGTCCTACAAGCCTGCAGGATCGATTCTGCTATTCTCAATAAATATATGTAATTTTATTATCAATCGTGATATATTCTATAAATTATATAATAGATTCGCTTTTTAATACTAAATTAAGATTTTATCTCATAACTGGGCAAAAGTGTTCGCATTTTATAAAAAATGTAATGCTGCGTAACGGATATCGGCTTATGATATGGTATGTAATGTTTTTACACTTTTATATCGCATAGAAAATATTTTTATTATTATTTTACAATTTTAACTAACTTTTGATTACGAGTTTATAAAAATGACATAAGGCAGATTAAGTTCTTTTTTTTTTCAATATTTTCTATGAAAAAAAAACAGCATCCGATATCAATATTTTTAGCGTATTTATTATTACACATTCGAGTTTTTAAGTATTACTTAATTCTCGTGATTTAAGAATTAGTTTTGATCTCATGATAAAGTTCTAGTCGGATTGACTCGTTCCTAAGATATATGGTCCATTTACTACAATTAAATATATATTCGTAATCGAAAGATATATGTACCGTAATATGATATTTTATAACAATATATGTAATAGAGTAGTACTTTACAACCATTTATGAACGCCAAAAAGCCAAATTCGATGTAGGTTTGTCTTAAGCTTAAAACTTTACAATACCTTCATAATCAATTCTCTTTCCTGAATATAATAAAGAAATTTGTGCTATAAAGAAAACTACACTGCATTTATGGACCGCTCTAGCGGTGTTTGTGAGAATTGGCTAAAAGGCACGTGTAGAGAATCACACTCTCGCATGTGAAAAGTGTCTATTCAAAATCACTCTAAGCCTTGTGAGGCTTGTGAGGTGAGTAAAAATGTTCTAAAAATATCCTACGAAGATGTTACACGAACTTGCCTTGTACTACATTATCGAATGATCTAAAAACTTCCAAAAATGCCCTTGTATAAGTGATACATTCAAAATAAGTTAGTGTTGTATTAGGAACACATTATTTGGCATCATTTCAAATAAAATTCACAACTTCACTAAAATTCGTCCAAGAATCAACGAGAGTGTGTTCTGAGTTGCAAACGCGAAGCTGTAAGGAAAAATAATTAAGAGTCGGATGGGGCGAAAGAACGTATGATGCTCACTAACGCGGTATAGGTACCAGCGACTAGGCCTACCACGCCAAAGACAAATAAGAATGCGTCTTTAGCGAATAAGATAGTGCGTGAAGTACTCGGGCGTAGAGGGAAAGAGACACAATACTCCATTAGAGCAGGGAAGCATATCCCCAAGGCAGAGAGGCAGAGAGCTCCGAACAATGAAATGAATAGCCCAAGACGTGGTACTGCCACTGCTAGAACAACTGTAAAGATAAAAGAAATAGTTAAGAATGCTATATAAAAATAAATAATATAGACATAATTTACTTTAAATAAAAATATTTCACAAAAACTCAATTGATTTTATTAACATTTTTATGCTGACATAATTGTAACACTTATTTACTGAAGATATGGCGCAGCCTTAGCTTACTTGGATTTATTATAGAGGTACGAAGAAATATAGTTGAAATTCATTTTTGATTGTGAGATGAATGAAATGTATGAATCTAGTTTTTTTTTGCAATTCCGTTTTAGTTTATTTACTGAGTCACGTGTTACTTATAATAATAATTGTTTTATATTCGACATTAATAATGAAATACTCACAGGTAAGTAAACACAAAGCAATTCTTAGAGCGTATTCATAGCATCGCACTTTGGTGGGAGACGAAGTGCTATCTAACTTAGGTAGTATATACCCTTTCCATAAGACTTCTACTGGCACATAGCAGTGTAAACCGTAGCTAATGAAGATAGCTACCGCAAACATTCCAATAACACTTGTTGCTAGCCTGTAAGAAATAATAAATTGGTATAAATAAAGTATGGTGGTCTCCACTAAAATTGCTTTAAAGCGGGAACTGTGATACGTACATACAGAGACTGCACGAAGGATATATCGGCGTGCATACATAGAGATGTATGTACTTACTAGAGTAGAGACTCCCGGCAGACAATAAAAGCTGGGTGTAACAAAAACTTATCCAGTGTTATACTGATGCTGCCCACATCTGATGGAATAGGTCATGTTTCCTATCGTACTATGACTTACTCAGCCTTAAATACTTAGGATTTCTCCAACCGTTTTTTTAGTGACTTAATACGAACTTCAATGAAACTTTATTTTTAATTAATAAAAACTTACAAATCCAAAGTACTTAAAGGTCAAAACCACTTGTACATGACACCAATAGTGTAATTGCCCTCGCTTAATTTGAATGCGTCCCTAGATACGTAACAGATCTAGATCATAGTCTCTCTGTGTAGTGTGTACTTCATCCATATCCGTCGATCCATTTCAGACCGAAGGTGGAGCAAACATATAAACATACATACATACAACCACATTTATTATAGTAATCAGTTATTATAACTTACGGGTGCTTAGGCAAGTCTAACGTGACCGAATCACTGCAGTCCGACACACAGAACACGTAGCCCAGCGCACCGACCGCTACGTACAGCAACACGATGATCGTCATACCAATGTTAAGAACACCGCACGGCTTGCCGAATGATTTTGGTGTCTTCATATTATTTTCTAATGCTATCACCTAGAGAAAAACATCATATTATTTTTGTGCTTTTACATACAAAGCTCACTCAAAATCTAATACGTTTAGGTGTTAAACACGTTTTTGATTTATTTGTTTAAATGTGTTTTATATATTTTTTATAATATTAAATAAATTCAAAAGGAGTGAGAAATGTATTAAAATATACTTTTAACCAAACTAGAAGATATATTTGTGTAAACAATACTAACTACTTAATAAACACATTGTAGGAATCAAACCTGCGAATATCAGTCAGATAAATCCAATATCTACTTAAAAGCATATCAAAATGAAGAACAAAGCTGCTTCTAAAAAAAACAGTCTTACCACTCCCACAGCAGTCAGCGCAAATAATATAGTTCCAAAGAACAAGGGGAATGTTTCAGCTGAGCCCCATAAATCCAGGGGTTTTTTTGACTTTTCCTCCGTCAATAGATAGTAGACCACGATGCCCAGCCCCACGAACGTCATCACGTTAGCCAGAGCTGAGAACGGGGCTAGCAACTTCAAACTTGGAATCAAATTGAAAGCCATCAGTGGCCCCAGGATGATAAGCATATGGATTTCTACCGCCATTTCGTAGTACGGGTCGCACACCTGAAAAGAATATATTTAAAAGTTTTACAAATTAACTAGGGCCAACATTCATATGTTTGTAAAATAAAACATATCTGTTGAAGCATTTTTAATGAAGTCATATAGAATTTCGAACCTCTCTATGAGACAAAGTTTAAAGGGAGAGTATAAGTATGGCATGTTTCAAAATACAAATATATACATATACAAAATAAAAATGTTGATATAAATTTCAAGCTAGAGTAGAGGTAGATATTCCGTTTCAAATGATAAACTTCAAACCTTTATATATCTTTGTTTAGTTAACAGATATTTTGTGAATTATTTACCTATGCTCGATACAACTTAACTAACAATAACACAAAATGTACTACATAGAAATGCTAGTAACTATGCTAAAACATTATAATTGTTCAAGTGATATTGCTACCCAAGGTTTAGTTCGATATTATGTGGTCCTTGATTAATATTGACACGGTCATAGTACGAGTTGCGCCTGCGCATGCCGACGCCCGCCCATTTAGACCAATTGCGGAACCCAATAGACCCCCTCTTGCATAATATCGAGGAAATCATATCCCTCATTAATTTATTACCTACATTCCTCTGATAGTTGGGCTTGATGTGTGCGACTCATTACGGGTATAGGCTCAGTTCACATTATATAGTAGTGGTATTGTTTGTTAGTAGGCAAAAATATATAAGTTCGATTATCTGTTAAGGTAAACTTTAGTCATTAGGGATATATCTTGATATAGGATAAGAGATAATTCAAGGCTCGCTCCGACCCATATACATCTCTTAGGTAAAAATCAAGTCAATTCATTGTTTTATATTTATGTACTAAATGTAAAAGACACACTTTCGCCTATTATATTATATATTACTAAATTAATTATAACAATAGCAATTTTAAATAGAGATTTAGATTTGATGGCCAAGTCATTAGTAATTTGAGGTAAATCTTTTCCTTCTTTATTGATTCTTTTATTTACTTCTTTATAACCTAAATGTGTTTAAAGATACCATATTATATACGTAGTATCCATAACAATACACTATTAAAATACCTTAACGTCCAATATAGTCTTATTATGACCATACTGAATGCAGTTTAATGAAGCAAAGTGAACAAATAGATGCAACGACATTGGATACTATCATTGTTAATTAAGACGTTAAAATGCATATATAAATATCGCTATTGGTTACGTCATCTGGTAATATTATTTCAATAAACAGAATAACCTTTCAATAATATATAGTAAGCAGTAGCACTATTGTAAATATGAAACTTCGTATGTGTGCGTTTGTTACTCCTTAACTTTGAAAGGGGTGGAGGGGATTTAGAGATACCCCAAAAATTCCTACTGAGACATCGAGTAAAACGAAAGCTTAACCAATTTTAATACGATTTATAGAAAAAAATATGGAAGATTCAATAATAAAGTAAATTGAAATAAATAAAGCCATACCTTCTTGATATTATCTGCAATGAATACAATATAAACACAGCAGATGCCAAGTTGGTAAACGACGAGGAAGACATCGACGGCTAAAGCAGCGGGTTTTGCGAAACGGCGGAGTGCCTCTGGGCCGCAGCCTAACGCGGCAGCTACGGAGTCGGGGTACGTTAGCAGTGGCACGCGAAGTCGCTTGCATGCTGCGTACTGGGATCGAACCTGTTATATAATTTTAACAATATTAGAAGAGTCCTAGAAGTCGTCGTCTTTAAATTTCTAGTTGAAATATAATGGTACCCTTAAATAAGTAGAAATTTAAAAACTAAAAGAAAAACCTTAAATTATCTCTCTTCTATAATTATTTACATAACTTTTTAAGTGACAATATCCAATGTAGAATGTCGTCTTATCTAAACCCACTATTAAAACTTGATATCAGTTTTTTTAAGTGAAAGTGTTTTTAAGTGTAATTTTCTATCATAAAATTAAAAAAAAAATCTGGACGAATCTTTTTGTAGTCTATACTTATATTACAAAGAGGTGAAGTTTGTGAGTTTGTGACGTTGTAGGAGGTAATCCCTGGATCTACTGAACCGATTGAGATGAAATTTGGTAAAAAGATAGTTTGAGACCCTGGGAAGGACGTAGTACTTTTTATCCCGGAAATTATCCTTGAAGGGAAAAAATGGGAATGAAAGTTTGTATGTGGAAGCAAGCTAGGGACGAACCCAATCGAAGCTAGGGCGAGTCGCTAGTAACGAATAAAATAGATTTAACATGGAATTAGTATTAACTTAATATACCATAGAGTTATATAAAAAAGTGAAATAAAAGTAATAAAAATATACTCGTAAACATAACGATAAAAAATTAATTGTAAATTTTTATTTTACAGCCATTTTCTAACTGATTGATTCACAGAGAGTATCGATATTATTACTACCTAGTACTTACCTAGTACCTACTTCTTTTAAAATACATCTACAATAGATACGTACAAGTACGTGTAAGCAGTGTGTCACTAGGATTCCCACAAAGACAGTTGCAATAATGCCGGTAACAAGTCCGGAGCGAGCGAACGCCTGTGGCATGGCCAAGATACCAGTTCCCAAACTGCACTTCAGAAGATGCACCAATGTCTCCAAGTCACTGTGGAAATTTACCTTCGAGTAGTAATTTAAAATGTAGGTATATAATAACCTAAAACACATTGTTGATTAAAGTAGATATTAGAAATAAGAAGTACCCTAAGGCTAAAACTTAATACAAAACGGCACATGAATCTGTTGTTCTCACGCTGCGTAAAAAAAACTACTTAAAATACTTGTAATTTCGCATTTAAAATCATTATTAGTAACCAGAAATAAATAACAATGACAGCTCTACGCTACCGTATACATATATATTGGAAGCACACAAAACGTTTACTTAATATAAAAAAGTAAGTATTTGTCGTACTGGGCCTCGAATCTGCAATCTTCGGCATAGAAATAGATACCCACCCAGCCTAGGCTGAAGCATCGTCAAACTTTTTAAAATACGGGTATAGGTCGTGAGCATATTAAATTATACGCTAGATTCGTAGGTATAATATACAATTTCATATCCGTTTTTGGATTTATATTAGCGATAATCATAGAAAGTTAAGTTGAAATGGGATAATATAGAGAGCTCTAACTTTAGATGTATTGAACTGTATAAAACTAGAAAGTACGTTGTTGGATTACTTTCCCGTACGAATTGTTCAAACATTTCTTAGTACAAAAAGCTTTTAATTTGTTGATTGTCAAAGGTGATCAAAAAGATGATAGTTGGTTGTCTTAAAATTACAAATAGCGGTTAAAAGTGTAAAAGATTTTTTTACTTAAAAATGAAATTGTTTTTAAATATACCTACAATATACATAGATACCAAATCTAGTTCACTAGCGAGCTTACTTTGCACTCTGCGTCATCCCTTATTGTCACATTGTCACTGCAAAAAGTCTTTGCTTCCAACATACAGATATCCTGTAGTGACTGTTATTATAAATCCAAATAAATAGTTTACGTAATATAAAAATAGTACAAGCTACTTTGATAAGTAATTAATGAAACAATTTTCAGATTTCCAATTTGCCTCCGAGACTCCAACATACAAAGTACTCGCTTTATAAAATTATCGATAGATTATTTGCTAAACTTAAATAACTCAAAATAAATTTGCAAAATTTACAGTTACAGGACGAATCTCATAACTGCTAAAACCTAAGTAATTAATATTTCTTTCCCAAGCCAAAGGAATATATTAAAGAGAAAAAAATCCACAGATCTCACGTCTGCCATTCGGATGACTTTCGGGTATTAATTATATTTATTTATAAAAAAAAAATGCAAAGTAGGTAGTAGATAATTTAGTAAAAATTATTAGTCTAACTCTAAAATTATTACATTTTTTACGAACTAACACACAACCGTTGTAAACGCGTTGAAGAAACATTATTTTTAGAACAAAAAGCACCACATGTGTGACACAAAGAACTCTAGTCGAAATTTTAAAACTTTTGAATAACTTTACCTATTAGTTTAAAAACATATTTATTTATTCACAAAGAATCACTTCGTTCAAAAACATAATCATATTCCAAAACATTTATTTACCGCCACTACCGCGTTCACGCGCTTTCCGCGCGTAAACTCCGCGTTACAAAGGTATAACGTATAGGTAGATATATTACTTAGGAATAACGAATCACCCCCAATATTTTTTTAAATGTATCCATGCGGAAATCGTCCGCATTTTTCACATTTTTTCGATTAAAGAAAAAAAATTCTAATTTTTTCTTTAATTTTGTAGCCCTCGTCGAGACGCATCTTTTGGCATCCCAATCTGCCACTTACTCCCAAAACCCACGATACCAGCCAGGGTAATGACGCACTTTTGGGTTTTGCGATTCGAAGCAACAAAAAAACATTTTCAATGTAACATTGAAAACTTTCAGTATTTTATTAAATGATTTTTCTATGCATAATAAAGTTAACTTGAAATGGAATAAAGTGGCTATTTAGTGGCGTTGTAACCTTGATAAATGTTGATGAAAGGGAACTTTCGCGATACATACAAATTATGCATTGACATGAGTGATACAATGATATAGGTAAATAATAACTATAGAAAGGTCCGTATGAAGTGTCAAACTAATCACCTAGTATCGTGCGAACATTTTGCATTTTAACATATGTACCGTAGCGACCTAGAAAATATATATATAGTTTATTTTTTTGAAGTCGGTTAATTGTTTTATTTCGTAATTTTTTGTATTAAGTAACACTAAAATTTGACCAAGGTTTTGAGATGTTTTCCCTTTGACACCATACCCGTAGCTCGTATCAATAAGTCAGGCCATTACACACTTTAGTCCAAATAATAAAAACTACTGAACTGATTTTAATGAATTTTTTACTAGTCCCTAAGTTGAAAAAAAAAATAATCACGATACAATTCCTACTTTCGGAAAAATGCATGAACAAACACACATAAATTCAAACATACATACATACATACACCAAGACCAAGTATATAAAATTTTGTAAGGCCAAGTATATAAATTTTTGTTTGTAAGTACTTCTTGTTATCAAAAAAACACAGGAGGAAGATCGTCCCAGAATCGCGCGTGCGAGGCAGAAATAATTATGTAGCTTTATAATTGTGGAATATCGAAAATTTAGAGTGATATGACATACAACTTCCAACAACCATCAGTTTGAAAACTAGCCCAATCTTAAAAAGAAGACCAAAGATGATGTTTATGTTAACTATTTTGACACGCAGCTGGACATTAAACTTAAGTTTATTATCGTCGCCTTAGTGCTTATTTGTTCAAACCACCAATGCTTATTGTACTTTACTATATATTTTATACTAATAGAATTGAAGTTTAAAAAGTGAATAATTCTGCATTGACACCTCTCCATAAAGTTCGTTTGGACAAACAAGCACTGAGATGAAGATATCTCAGCTTATATTAAAAAATAATTATTCAAATACATACAACAATTTTGTGCATACTGAAAGAAACTTTCTTTGCTTTTTTAATATATTACTTGTTCTGACGAAACGTTTAATTTAAGAAACTATACTGTAACAACAGATCATTTATCTCATATTGTAAATCTGAACTAACAACAAGTGTCAATCCTGTCATTTCATATTTTGCTTGCGGAAATTTTATCACTCCATATTTTCTAGGTCACGTCACATATGACGTGGATTTGACTGGATGCTCGACCTCGATGAGTAATTGAATGATAATTAATTAATTACTTGCATTGTTAATTAGCGTAGGCGTTCATTTTACTGGACATATCGATTTGTTTTGAAATATAAGTTTAGAAATACAATTACTTAGTTATACTTCTACAAATTTTGAAGAATTTTCACATTTTTCTCCCAAAGAATCGACTCTATATGAAAAACGTATTCAACAAGAAATGACAATCTTTTCATTGCCTACAACTTTAAAAAAAAAACATTTTTCTCTAAAATCAATATTTATCGCAATAAACGCGAAAAATATTATAAAAATTGATTTTTCTTAGATTTGACGTTGAAAATTCAATTTACGGGTATTTTGAATACCACGGACGTTATCAGCGCGTCAAAATCTATATGTGTACCAAAATTCAGATTAATCGGAGGTTTATCCAAACATTTTACCATATCACAATTTTGAATATTATATTTATTTAGAACACAATATACTAATTATCTTGTATTGAATCTCCATGTACTATCTTATAATGATTTATTATACTTCAACATTATTCACACGGTTTTAGCTCGACTTACGTATTTGTATGAATGTTGTGTAATTTTAAATATAATTTATACACATGCTTAGACTGTATGAATGTAATAACTATACTTTCGTAAATAAGAAAAAACTAAATCAATTCCAAAAAATCAAAATTAGCTTTGTTTAATTGGACGTTTCCAACACATTTGTCAACTTAATTTAAACGAAGATTAAGCCCGTGAGGATGCTACAATTCTGATGAGAAAAGCCCCCGAGAAACTCAACCGTTTACTTGCTCTTTTTAGTTTCGAGTTTAATGTATGTTCATTTTACCTACTTATCCAAAATATACACACCCACGTCGTTTTTATGTACATCCATCTTGCAATAGAATTACATCAATACTAAATATTTTCGATTTACATATTGTTATTATATATGTAGATACGATTTTATTATTATACTAGCAGTACCCGCGGCTTCACCCGCGCCCGAACTTCCATCCGATCGCTAAAAAAATTCACAGGATCACCCGCTGCGCTTTGGTTTTGGAATCCATAAGAAACATACACATGGATTTTTATTTTATTTAATCAACAATTTAAATTTATTTATTGGTCGGAAAATAGAGTCTTTTATGAAAATTTAGTGACACACCGACTACAGCGCCACCTACCGGATCCAATTGTGAATTCAAACCTTACAGGGACCCTTCAAACCATACAGGAGCCCATTGAAATATACACACAAAATTTCATCCAAAACGGTCTAGCTCTTTAGGAGGAGTAGGTTAAGAAACACACGTACAGAAGAATTATATATATTAAGATATATATAAAGGGCAAAAGTGATTGACTGACGTATCAACGCACAGACCTAACCCTTAAGGCTAGAAAATTAAAATTTCACACACGTATTCCCCATGTGACGAAGGCATCCACTAAGGAAGGATAGGAAGGATTTTTCAAAATTCAACCCCCAAGGGAGTAAAATAGGAGATAAAAGTCTGCATGAAACTTTTTATTCCTTGGTATGTCCTTGCATGAAATTTCGTATGAATTGAGTACGGCAAAAATAATCAGTTACATATTTCAGCGTTTTCCAAAATTTAACCTCTAAGAGGGTAAAATAGGGGATGAAAGTTTGTATGAAACCTTCCTTTTTAGAGATTTTATTTGTACTTTTAGCGCGAGCGGGAGCATTGAAGTTCATATTATGTATACCAGTAATCATTTATTACATATATAAAATAAATATCAACTAGCAAAGCAACCTTTATAGTTTCGGGTCGGGAATAGATATAAATTATCTTCTTTCAATGTGTGTCATTCAATAAATCGATGTTGGTAATAGAACCTTCCATTAGTTTTGTATGTTCTTAGCTAGTCTATACATAATTGGTTATTAAGTCATAAGATTGCATCGGAAATAACAACTTAAGCTCTGTACTATACAGTACAGTAAAAACGGTTTTCAATGTCGTAGTATAGGTAAAATTAAAATACTTGAGAATAGATGGATATCTTCAAAGATATCTAAGTAATGGTGATATATTGTTATCTATGGTATAGATTTCGACAAATAATAAATGTATGTCTGTAATAAATACGTCATATTATATAATGAACTAGCATTGCTCGCGACTCCGCCCGCGTTCTGATGACCAAAAACCAAATTCTAAGGTTTTACATGTTAGTTTACTCTTACATTGCAGTTTTTGTATTTTTTCTCAGAAATGAGATATTATCCCAAGGTAAAAAGTATCCTATATGTTGACCCAGATAACCAACTATCACCATACCAAATTTCATCAAAATCCCTCCAGTGGTTTTTCCGTGATGCGGTAACAGATAGACAGACAGACAAAAATACTAAAAACTATAGATACGGCCTCTGTATCGATAATAACGTCTATTTCAATAAGATTTTCCAAAAAATATTTCATGTACAGATTCGGCTTAGTTACAATTTTATTATATGTATAGATTATTAGTTTTAATTTTTATTTTGACGTAAAAACATTTTAATACACTTACTTTGTTGGTTTCGACGTTTGCCGATGATCATGGGGGTCATATTCGTCCTCCTCTTCAGAGACTTCCCTGAGAAAACATATTTTATTGTATTATATGTATATAACTAGCGAATCACCCACGCTCTGTTCAGGTTCGTCCCTTGTTACGTTTTAACGTATTTGGTATAAATTTCTCAGATATGAGATATTTTCCCGCAGTGAAAAATATCCTATATAACCTGGATAATCAGCTATCATCATATCTCAAAATCAGTCCAATGGTTTTCTCGTGATGCGTTTCCACTTCCCAGACAAGCAGATAGACAAAAATTTGGAAAACTTTAGATTCGGCCTCTGTATCGATAATAATGACTATTTCAATAAGATTTTTCTAAAAATATTTAATGTACAGATAAACCTCCCACACGCACTTCCCTTGATCATCATTATAAAATATCACTCTTTATTTTCTATAAATATAAGATACCAGAATATATCTCATCCTTGTCTCTAGCAGAAAAACATAGGACGTTCGTACTTTGACTTCATCTCTTCAAGTTTCATTTTTGCGACAAAAAGTAGCCTATGTTCTTTTCCAAGGTTCCATCTATCTCTATACCAAAACTCATTAAAATTAGTTTCAGCGGTTTAGGCATGAAAACAGACAGATAGATAGAGTTACTTTCACATTTATATTATAATAGTATATATGAGCGTGTCTGAAGAGGATGAAATCAATAGAGCAAAAGTAGAGTAAAATGTAGGAACCATAGCGCTTGGCACTCTATTCTCTCTATCACGCAAGGCATACTTATTGGGTAAAGATATTATACGAGTATAAGTAGATAAAATATAGCACATCAAAATTTACGAGCTTACCTGCAAAATTTAAGTACTTATATTACGATGAGTCTGGCAGGATATACGTAGACGAATGGAAGGAGAAGTGAATTGATCTTTTTTGGGTCATGCTTCCGTTTAAAAGCAAATAGATCTACGTTGTGCAGTCAAAAATATGATTTGAACTGTGTGTTGTTCTATAGTCTTATATAGTGACCCAACTAGTGACCCGCCCTACTTTTTCTTTAGGGGGTTAAAACCCTATTATTAGCTAAAATTTTAGAGGCAAAATTATTTATTATAAAATGAATCACAAAAATTGCAGTTCGCGAAAAACATATACAAAAAACACACATTTTCCCACCCTTTATGAAATCAGTATAAAAATGTCACTCTTCCATCTACAAACTATACTTTAAAACAATGTGCATTTTTTTGACAAAGTTATAAGTAATAATAATATGAATACATATAATTTATTCCATAAACTATAGAAGACCACTCTTGACACCTCGATTAATATCAATTAAGCGAAAGTGTTGGCGTAATACTGGCGGAATTAGTCTTAAGATGACTTCTTCTATTTAGTTGGTAAAAGCTGCACTACAAACGGACAGACAGACAAATAAGATCTAACTAGGGTATAGACTTTTTCTTTTAAAGATATAATTTATTTTTATAATAGTTTTAATTAAAACGATTATATACTTAGTTGCCATGGCTGAAGAAGATTCTCCTACAGGCTGCAGACGTACTGTCTCTGCCCTCTCATCCTCCATCTCTTGGTCTTCGGGGGCGTGTGGAACCATTACTGATGATATATGCTATTGTAAAGAAAATTATCTTATAATTTCTTTGTTAATAGGAAATATTGTTTAAAAAATGTTATTAATAATATGAATTAAGTACGTTGGAAGTATGTCTTTTGGTTTATTTTTTAGGGTTAATGTTTCATGCTAAGGAACCCTCGGTGTGCTGCAGACTCGCACTTGTCCGATTTTTATGTGTAATAGAGTAATAAAGTAAAGAAAGTAGTAGAACACAAAGAACAATAAGACAAAACATAAAGAAGTTATGAAAAGATAAGGGCTAAAAGTCGAAAATATCATGAGAACTTACAATCGATACCAATGCTATAAATGAGAACGTTTTGCGGTTGTGTTTGGTTGGTTTTCACGTCTAAGTGATTAAATATATTTTAAAGTAATTTTGTTTGAGAGCATTTAACACTCTGAAATGGGATGCAGACTACTTTTACTATATATATATACTAGCGACTCACCCTCGCTTCGCTCGCGTTCGTCGCTAGCTTGATTCTCTATACAAACTTTCATCTCCATTTTCACCCCCTTAAGGGATGATTTAAGGGATAAAAAGTATCCTATGTCCTTCCCAGGGTATCAAATTATCTTCTTACTAAATTTCATGTAAATTGGTTCAGTAGATCTTCAACGTCACAAACTCACAATGTCACAAACTCACAAACTTTACCTCTTTATAATATTATATTAGTATAGATATATATTACTTCTAAAAAATGAAATAATAAAAAGTAATACTGATGTATGAAATGATATATTTATAATATAACTACCATGAAAAATTATAGAGAAAAATTTAAAACCACTCGGTAATCAGTCTCTTTATAACAACGACCTACATATGTTTATAAATAGAACTATAGATATAATTGAGGGAATATGGAATACGTGGAATTTTCCCTTTTGAAAGCTTAAACCTCGTTCGTCATCGAAACTTTTTCGATATAACTAGCTTATAGTATAAATGGAGCTCAAAATTTAAAGTATTTTGTAATATTGCTTATATAATAATATATATTACATATACACACACGCATACTATACGTGTATATACAGGTGAAACAAATGGATGGTTTATGAAAGAAAAGTACCTTAAATACTTAAGTTATTAAATTTTACTCAAAATAAAGATTCCTTTATTTTAATAAATAATAATAACTGCATTTAATTTTTTTTTAAAACCTGAACCGGTAATCGAACCAACTAAAAATACACTGACATACACCGTCACTTCTTTATCTAACTAACCGATATAGTCTATGGTAAGGATAAAATCTCTGGAACAAACATTGCATTTTACAATTAAAGAAACCCATGGAATATTAAAAGCAATTCAAACATATCGACTATAATTAACATCGTGGAACAGACATGGAAGAAAAGTATCGTAAGTACTGAAAATATTGCGTTTCACTCAAAGAAAACATTATTTTATCTGTATATCTGTATAAATATTTTAATGTGAAAGTGTGTGAGTGTAGATGTTTGTTACTCTTTCACGCCAGAACGGCTGAACGTATCTGGATGAAAGACACAGAGGTAGATTATAGTCTGGAATAATACATAAGCTACTTTTTATCCCGGAAAAATGTGCGATTCCCGTGGGATAGGTTTGTTTTGTTTTCCTAGAGGCGAACCCGAGCGAAGCTGAGGGTGAGCTGCAAGTTTTAAATAAACAAGCCTATACACTAAAAACATAGTATTTTGAAAAGGTTGCAAAAGGATTTCACGCTTTAAGGATGTAGCGCGGTCAAGTATGATACATTTTGCTATAAATATAAAGAGTGTGAGGGTCGTTAACGACTGACCACAAAGAGAATGAGATTGATAGCTCAGAATAAGTGGCTAGGTAATTTAAGATTCAGCACAGGTTTATTGCAATAATATAATACTTCATTGTTTTGATACTATAATCTTTAAAGAAATAGGCAAAGAAAAAACAGTTCAGGTACCTTTTTATCACGCTCTTATGAGCTTTGCCTGTATCTATCTATGAATCTACGAATCTATGGAACAGAATTTATTAAAAATATATATTAAAAAGATAATAATTTAAAAAAACTAAAAAAACATGCTTTTTATAGCAGGTCAAACTAAAAAATGAAAAAAAAATATAGTTGAAGAAACTAAAAAACGAGCTTTAATAATAAACCGAATTAAAATGTACAAAATAATATGATTAACGAGAAAATTAATATTATTGTGAAAAAAGCGTGAGGTGTTCGATATCAGTTATTAGAAATATTCCATTGGTACGATTTGTAAAAGTAGAGTTAGTGCAAAAATATTGTACAAAGCACTTTACTTTACTTACTACTTTACTTTACTTGTTAATCATATTATTTATATTAAACAATATTTTTCACTTTTTAGTTCGGTTGATCATTAAAGCGTGCTTTTTAGTTTTTTAAACTATAATTTTTATCATATGTTTGTTAACCGATTTTCTTTATTTTTTATTTAGTAGCTATTGACGAAGTATAGTGTTACCAATGAAAAAAACCATAGCCTTAATCGTTTTTGAATTTACGAACTTTGACCACTGGGCGGACACTAGTCCTCATAGCTATCTATGAACGTACAATTAGAAAAATTAATTTACGTAAATAAAAAACCCGACTGCATAAATAGCGAACTAAAAAGATGAGAACAAGTTGACGAAGGAACATATAATATTATATAGTAACTTCAAAGTTCTACTCGTACTTAGTTCACATGCATACAATATGATTATTGAAGATAAGTGAACAATAATACTATGCTTAGAGCATTTAAATGCAACACATTCAATAGATAAATAAAAAATATACAAAAGGAATCGCTACAATGCAACTTGCAATGATTTAAATTATAAGTAGAATATTATAGAAAACAGTACGTAGATCTAGAAATTAAAATAATATGCTTTTAGATATTTTCTCAAGACTAAGCTCAATGAGTTGTGAATTAGCATTATAGCCTACCTCTTCGATTAAATAAAAGGGTCTTTAAAATAATTAATTAAAAAAAACAAACACCATACGATAGTAATGAAAGCAAAACATTCACATGCCACAAACTCTATTCTCGCCTCAGCTAGTTTACTTTACATTAATAACAGAATAACTATTGACAATGCTGATTGATTTCACTAAGACATGTACGCTACATTCAGTTATGTAAATCCCGCAAGCTATTTTAAAACTCCGACAAAAAATCGCAAAGCGTGGTACTTAAACTAGGCCCCATTGTTCTCTAGAGGCTCTCTAAATATAAATATAGGGCAACGTATAGCCAATATTGCTATAAAATAATATATCTTACATATTAAAAACAATTATAAAATCGTAAACGTACGTGGTATCGGGATCTCGTGGTCTAACAGTAATGTGTTAACTCGCGTATAAGTCGTGTACAACTGGTATTTTGACGTCTGAGAGGCCCGTCCCGGAGGACCGCACCCACTCCCCTCTATTATCTCATTCATTTAAATTTGCTCTTAGGGATTGCACAGCTCACCTAACTCCCACATCTACGAGGTGTATAAAAGCTAATTTTTAACTTTAATTAAGATGGTTAAAGCTTACAGCAGTAATTTTTATGTTTAACACGATTTTAAAACAAAATAATGACTGTGTAATTATTGTGGGAACAATTTTCATCAAAGTTCATCTTCTTTATTTAATGAAATTACGTTAATTTAATATTAAAGATGTAAAACATGAACCCTTTTGTATATTTCCTTTTGTATAGCTCAGACTGAGTTTTTGCTTTAAAAATATAGAGCACCGTTTTTAATGACTTGTCTCTTCAGTTTTTGCACCGAAACTCGTAATTTTTTACAAGGATGTTTATAAAACTTTAACATTAATACATATTTATATATAGCTATTATTGAGAGTTGGTTTGTTTTTAAAATAATAAAAATGATTAGTAAAATTCTATTTACTCTAAGTAAATACTACCAATAAGAAAGTATTATATGTAACAATGAAAATAAGAATATGGAAAAGCTGCATCGAAATTGATGTGTTATTCCAAATTAATAGCAAAAATTAGGAAAGATATGTACGTTTATAAACGTTTGCAATAAAACATTACCGCTGCTATTATTGTTTTCTAGCATTGTAAATTGTATGTGAACGTGACCTTAGGTTTTATGATGGTCGTTCATTTATTTTCGTCTGAACACAACTTTAGGTGACACACTTGAAATTTAGTCAAATGTCATTATTTATTTTATATTTATGTCACCATAATAGCTTGGCCCGCCCTTAATATGAGTTCTCTTATCAAATGCGGTTCAAAACTATTTGTTTCCAGGCCAATTTAAAGACACGCAGACGAGAATATGAATACTAAAGTTAGCTGCAATAATAATGTCACATCATACATGAAATGAGAAAGAAAAAGTTTTGATTTTAAATAGGAAAACTTTTTTACCCTTATTATTCACAGTTATCGTTCACAGAGTGTTTTCACGGTCATTTAGAAAGCTCAATCCCGATACCTCAAGTTATCCCTGTAGAATTTTAATACAGTATTACTCAAAATGATGAATGGAAATAATTATTTTCAAAAATTGTTAACAGTAATTATTTCTGTTAAAAATTTTCACAAATAATATTTTTGTAATGGATAGTCGAGGCATTAAAGTACATTAGTCTGTACAGTTATTTCAGTCTGTACAGTTTGTTTTCTTTACGTTAACTTTGACTATGATTTAATGTTTAAAAGTAAGAGAAGAACATCTCCGTAAAATTGTAGGTATTAGAAAATTCGTAAATTATGTACTCTGTGAAAAAGCAAAGTTTTTTGGTTTGGTACATTGATCAAAGTTTTATCAAAATCGATCGAGTTGATGAAAAATGCATATGATATAAATAGACACACCTACAACACATCAATTTTATATATAAATAGCTTGAGGAAGATCAAGAATACGTATAATAAGATTAACCGCGTTGTAACGATAGCGGAAGAAGTCAATTGACGCTGAGATTGGCACTTTTTATAAATGTCGTCCAATTATTTCTATTTATGTGCTCACTAGTCTTTTTGTGTGGATACGGTTCCGAGTATTTTTTAAGTCCACGACCACAAAAAAACATGAATTCAAGAAAAAATACTAAGAATTTTTACCATAATAATATAGGTCTTTGTCATGTCGTCTTTGTCGTGGCTTGTGCAGCTTTAAATATTTGCACATACACACTCACACACACACATACGATGTGTTTGATTAATTGAGGAATTTTAGTTGCTACGCTGCATACCTATTATTTGTATGTGTTACATTATTTTATTACCTGTACAGTAAAAACATCAACCAAGCAAGTATTACAGTCTAATGATAAGAATACTAAAAGCCATTGAAACTTGTAGATATATATGCTGAATTCCCTTAGAGAATTATTTAAAAAAAATACTGTATTAGTATATGTATATCAAAATTTACTTCATTTTATATATAAAAATAATAAAGAGAATTATATTTATACGCTTTGAGCAAATTGATTATCTACAATCTATATCGCTAAAAGAAAGTTTATTTTATACACGTGATTGACATTTGCTGAACACGTCACGTTAAGTATTAGGAATGTGGTATCCAAACATTTTTAATTTTCTAAAAACCAAAGACGATTGTAGAACAATCTAAGGCGAAGTTTTATGAATGAGTCTTCCGCACAGAAACAACCAATTTAAATGATCAAATTTTTATGAATGAGGATGAGTGCTACAGGAAGGTCAACTGGATCATTAACTTACTGCAAACTACATGATTAAATTCAATAAAAACTGTCACAGCAACTCGGAATTTTAAGCACTTAATATGAATTAGTAAAATCTAATTGATAGTAAGTAATATATTTCATTCAAATCAAATCAAACAATTTATTGCGAACTTGGGTTAGTACCTACACTTTTTAATGTTCATAATAATATTGTTAACGTTTAGCCAAATTAAGCCTTACAGCATGCAATAATTAAAATATTATATTAATTTACATAAAATTACCGACTTTATCTAAAAGAAAATTAATCATTTATAGAATAAGTATCTAGGCGACTGAGATTCTCTTCGCGCTTTTCAGAAAAGATACCTATGTAGATAGTAGATACATTTAATTGCTCATTTAATACTATGAGATAGTATGTCTTATTCAATAAAAAAAAACTTTAATCTCCGCTTAAACAAATGAATTTCATGCGTTTCTAAAATATCTTAATGGAGCAGGCTTGTCCGGTGTTTATCCATATTAATCAATCTCAAATTACGAATAACGAGCGCCATACGTACATAATAAGTACATTGGTATCATATTAGCTTAGATTATTTATATGACATATATTAATTGTCTGTGTATTCGTTTGTTTTATGAATATTACAAGTATCACAGCAATCGGCATCGGCTATAGTTATTTAGTATTAACTAGTGTTCGCCCAGTGGTTGTAATTCGACCATAATAAATAATTTTTTTTTTTTATTTATAACACTAAAGTTCGTCAATACTACTAAACAAAAATAAAAGTAAATCGGTTGTCAAACAGAGGAGAAAAAAGTTCTGAACAGTTTTATCTTTGCCTATTTATCTACATGTACTAACTAAACTTTGCCAAGTGGTCGAACTCTGACCATGATTATAATTTTTTTATTTATAAAACTAAAACTCGTCAATAGCTATTAAATTAACACCGTGAAACGTTTTTATGTTAGACAACATTACAAAAATATCCGCTTATATTTTTGTAATAATAATATCACTTTGGTGGGTTTTTGTTTAAATAATTCCTACGAGTATTGCCAGAACTCAATCAGTCATAGGAGATTTTATTTTCTAGAGTTGAGTTATTCATACTTACAGCCCTTTGAATCATTTAATCAAAACAAGATAACTTCAAGCTCATTAGCTTGGACGTCTTGTGGAACACTTCTGATTTGTATTTTTCTATAGCGTTTATATTAATTTGTTACTATTGACTCTAAAATAGTTATAATAAAATAAAATCGCAAACTCATCATGAGGGAATCTATTGGATAGCGTAGCCCTCTTTGGGAAACGCATTGCATTATGATCCTTCTTTATTTACCCGCGACGGCCACAGAGACGGTATATGTGTTTGGGGTAAGAAGTTTGTGTGTGTGTCTGTTACCATTTTTCTTATAAACGGCTCGGCCGACTTTTTGAAACGGTTTTTTGCTTTGTATAAGTCTCATTCCTGAGCATGTTCTTAACTAAGTTTTATGTTACAGAACGCCAAGGCGCGCTAAAGTGTAGGTACACATGTTTCTCCAAAACGATTATTTTATTTAAATAAATATATTGTACTTACTATTAAAACTAAAAAAAGCCACAAATAAAATATTAATTAAACATTTTAAAACCCCACGACGTAAAATGTCACATGAAAAAAAAACTTAAATTTAAAAATCTCAAAACCCACGACATTAAAGCGTAATATAGAATATTATTAAGAGCCGTAGTGCGTAACCTGTGTTGTAAAATGCTCATTAATTGACAATAAAACTACTAGCACATGTAACGTGAGCAGTCTACAACATTTCCCAATTTTAAAAAAGTTTAGGTATAGCAGTACGCAGTGAAGTGGGTTAAAATTACCATTTAATTGGCGATATACAAATAATGTTTGCTGAGATTTTGAAAGATGTATGTGGTCCATCAAACCTTTTTTGGCCAGTGTTCTTTTTTAGTTTTTGGAGGTCTACGAGTGGATGGACAGGAAGGCCTGAGATGTTAAAAGAAAAGAATTATTTATTGTTAAAGCTTCTTATTATACGGTTATGTTTCATTTTGAGTTTATAAGAGTTTACAAGTGAACAACTGCACATTCTACAATGATTTAACTTTATGCGGCAATGAATACGTATTGTCTCACAATTGGTATCGGATTCTTACAATGGAGTCCCGATGCGAGCGACCTTCTAGGAAATACTCGGTTAGAATTATAAAAGATCAATATACTAAATAATAAAGTTTCTTTTTAATACATATTATAAATTTAACTATTTAGTTTTTAATAACAAAATATAACATTTAACTCATTAAAGAATTATTTAATACAGAAAATCGAACTAGTGTCTTCCTTAGCAATTTTCACGCATTTTTGTTAATTTTACTCCCAAAACTAATATATAATATATAAAAAAATGAAGGGGCTGTTGAGTTTCTCATCACTTCACTGGAACTGGATCACGAGTAACACTCCGATGATATAACTTGACCGACATTTTACTGAATGCATTCAATACATTATAAAAACATTAAAATAAAATTCAGAATTAAGGTCAACAAAGTGTAAAAATTAAAACTTTTCATACTTAATCTACTTTAATAGAAGCCTTTAAATTTAGTATTAAAGATTTTAATAAATTAAAATATGTTTGAGAACTTAGCCAAATAAAAAAAGGTAAAAAGAACAGAAATAGACATAAGTACTTATATGTCTGTGATTCACACTCTCAACTTGCTTTTTAATTCATAAGTCTCAGTGCACTACTACATTGTATTTAAAGAATCTAGTCTTTCTAGGTCAACTTAAAAGTCTTGGTACTAGTGTTACCGTAGTGAGGCTAACCAAAACTTCAAATAAATCAAATAATTTAGTTGGTAACATTATTTGTGTATGTATGTTTCAGCTCTTTTTTAAGTTCCACTGCTGGGCACGGGATTTCCTCGCATTGAAGAATGGTTAAAGGGATCAGTCTATAGTTAACCACATTAAACGTGGTGAACTTCATATGTTTATCAAGACTTGTTAGATTCTTGCAGATATAAAGGTTTTCTCGGTATATTTTCTTTTTCAGTAAGACAAGTGAAAAACTTGTTTAATGATTTGCATATGAAAATATCAGAAGTGCGAGTCCGGGATTTAAATTCATTTAATTAGCCTTCCCACGCAAGCTCGTTACCAATGGGCATAACTCCATGGTAAAGTGGGTATTTACGTTACTCCATGGTAAAGTGGGTATTTACGTTATATACATTGACGGTAGATCCCAATAACCCATCTTTATTATTTCTTACTAGAGATAGGAATTTGACCTAATTTGTATGATGATGATTTGTATGTCGATGTCGAAGTTTTATCTGTAGTAAGGGCAAATATCAAGTTATTATTGGGAAATGTTGTAAATCATTTAACTGAAAAAGGGTTAGTCTTATTTTTCTTGCAGCGTGAATTAAATATTTATCAAAATTTCAATAATGATTACACCTAGAAGACGTCGTAAACGTCTTTGTAGGCGACGCTTTTGTTAGATCATTCATTACGTAGGGCAAAAGTTCTTTTGAGTACCTTATTAAATTGCCTTGAGATGATAGTTAATTACGAGATGCTATTACTAGAGTTTGGATAATCCACGTGTTTTACACCTGTACCCTCTATTAGCTAAATAATTTTCATGTAGGAAAATATTGCGCGTTATGTCAAAACGAAGCTACATAATATGATTTTATCTTTTTACGATGAATCGTAAAGTATTTTTCACGCTCACTATATTTTAATCGTAAGTTTTGTATTTCTGTATGAACAATATCCAAATAATTTAATATTGTCTAAATAAATAAGGACGAGCCTGAGCGAAGCGAGGCTAAGTCGCTATATAACATAAGGCAAAAGAGTTTTTTTTTGTAGATTAAACGCGGGTGAAGCCGCGGGCTCTAGTAGTTAACAATAAAGCTACTGGCACTTACTACTTAATATGTACAGTCTACAACATAGGTTACGCATGACGGCTATATTAATCATATTACCAACGCTTTAATGTCGTGGGTTTTTGAATTTTTTTAACTGACGATTATAGTTATATAGCTATTGGGTGCACATTAGTGTTATTAATAAAAAAATAGTATCGTTTCTGCATATTTTTTAATAACGGAAAAAGAAAATCAATCAAATCAAATCTATTTGCACTAACAATAATACTTACTGGCTTAATAAAAATGTAGCAATCATAAAATGAGAGCTTTCTGATTAATTATTCCTCTAACCTGTACTTAGTCAAATGCACAGAAGAAAATATTCAATATTTACAAAATTATCGTTCATCTATGTATACGTTTTATTAATTCAAACGCAATGCACTTTATGACAAACTAAGCTTTACAAAATAAGTAATAACTTAACGAAAGTGATTACTTCTAACAGATTTTTGAATAAAAATAGCTTTAAACTGTAATTATTCTATGCACTATCAACTTATTTTTGCTTCGCTTTAGTCAAAATTGTCCGCTATCGAGATTAAAAACAATTTTTTACCCGACTGCGCGACACAAAGGATCCTACATGGAATTCGAGAGACAAAACGTTATGTGTGGTGGGCCAATTTTGATGTATACATATACATATACGTTGTTGGATTCGTCTTGGTAACGTGAGTTTGATAATGCGAGCGCTATAAAAAAATGTTAAAAATTAAAATGGCGGATTTCAGGTGCAAATGTGTGTCTTTAAAAAAATCACCAAACAAATTGATTGCGGTATCAAAATAAAGGTTTTTAAGATGCGATTACCAAAAAATATATATAACTTATATGATTAAAGGTAATTTAGGATAAAAATTTTTAAATATAACTTCAAATGTCTCATTGCCAAAAACTAAAAAGCTGTAAATAAAAGAATTATTATAAAAATTAAGAAAACCAACTGCATAATTTAACCGTTTATACGTAGAGCATGATTTTTAGAATTTCGTATCTTTAAAAGGAAACACCCACATAGGCTCACTTATCGTCGTCTCAGCCGAACCGAAAGAGTTTCAACCATTAAAATAAAGCAGTAACTGAATAAAAGTAAGAGCACAATCTACTTTCTAGTTAATTATTTTAGCTCTGAAATTTTACGAGGTTTATATTACATTTTGTATTATAATTTACCAATTTGCCTTAGTTTAGTTTTTGGATCTTTTTTTATGTCTCATAACAAAGGATAGGATAGATAGAGCGCATAGAACTAATAAATTATAGTTTAAAAACCTAAAAAACACGTTTTAATTATGAACCAAACTTAAAAGTAAAAAATATTTTTTATATAAGAATAAAGAGATTAACGCTCAAATAAATATATTATTTTGAAAAAATAGTTTGTTTTTTTAAGTTAAACGGTTTTATTGAAAAGAAAAATAATAAGTAAAAAAAGTAATAAGCGGGGAGCGCTTTGTTTAATATTTTTAAACTAACTCTACTTTTAGAAATCGTTCCAATGGAATCCTTATAACAACTTATATCGACCACACGCTTTTTTCACAATATCATTAATTTTCTCGTTAATTATTTACTTTATTTATACTATTAAATTTGCATAATTTCAGTTCAATCTGAAGTTTTGAAGTGGGTGAAAATCGCGTACAAAGATTCCGTTATGCAGATAGGTCTGTCGATGTCAGATAGTGAATATGCCAATTTAACATTTACAATTGTGTACAATTAATTATGTTTTCTAGTACTATTTTTATGATGAAGTCTTAAATTTCTTAGAAGTAATTACACTACCATTTTATGCTTCAATCACAACACTCTCATCGAACGCCTCATCGAACTTAAATGAGACTTAGATAATATCTTTTTTAGTTTAAAAAGAAGTCATACTTAGATCAAAGTCAATATTATTCGCTGTAGCTCTTTGTTACGGATGTTCATTTAAATTTTCTAAGAAATAGCTTAAGGTAGTTTGAAAGACACATGAGCTTTGTAGCAAGTTTAATAATTGCTTGATTTATTATGATAAAGTTATTGAGGATTTTGTAAAGTACTTTTACAAAGTGAGAATATTATGGATGATTTATAACATATAATTGATCTTTTTTATTTTCGGATATATAAAAGCTACTATCTACTAGGGTACCAATAGAGGAAGCT